GACCTGTCTGGGTCTGTCTTGCAGCTGGCTCTCCTGACAGAACTGTTCTGTCTTGCAGCTGGCTCTCCTGACAGAACTGTCTCGTGGCCACGGTGAGAAGCACGGGCTGCTCAGTGTTTCCCACGGGGACCCAGCCACCAGCAGTGTCTTCCAGAACGAGACCTTCCAGCTCCATCTGGCCCCCCCTCCACTGGCAGAAGACTAAGTGCTCCTGCCTCCAGGCTGGCAAGGCCACCCATGGTTTCAGGTCTTGGTGCTGGGAGGTGTTTCCATCACACACTGGACTCTCCCCTCTCCACCCAGAGCTCTGGGAGCTGTGAGAGTCTCACGGGGGGTTTGTGGCAGTGGCTGCTGCCCCAGCTCTAACCTGCGGGGCAGCTGGGCTGGGAGCTGAGGACTCTGGAGCCAACCAGGTGTGCTGAAGCCCCGGGCTGCCTGCACCACCCCGGGGGCTCTTGGAGCAGCAGTGACTTTGCCAAGAAACTGAATCAGCTCTGCTGCCCGGGAGGAGGAGCCCAGGGCTGGTGTCACAGCGCTGGGGTGTTTTGGCAGGTGGGGACCACATGAGTTCTAACAACAGTGAAAGCAGGTGTTTTGCAGGGCCTGGCCCACTGTCTCATGGCAGCAGCTGTGGGGGCTGAAGGCACAGAGCAGGCAACCCTGGAGGAAGCTGAAGGGGGCAGGAAACAAAGTGTGAGGAACCCAACCTGCGCACGGTGCGTTCCTACAAACTGCCATTAAAAAGGTCCTTGGCTGAACTTTGCTGTGTGAGCTGTGCACGTGGGGTGGGGAAGGGGCTGCTGGTCTGACACTGCTGCTGGCTGCTCTTCTCTTAGTACAGTTTCACTGAACTCTGCTAGAGAAAGAGGCATCTTGTCACTGCAGGTGAAGCACAAACCTCCTCTCTCACCTTGTACCGATGTTGGGGGGGATGGGGAGGAGTTTGTGTGTGTGTGTAAAAAGGGGCTGCAGTGGGGAGGGTTGGGTTGGTGTGGTGGGTGCTGGTGGTCAGACAGGTTTGTCACTGCTGAGGTCAACCTGTTCTGCAGTACCAAAGGGGACAGTGTCCCTTCCCAGCAGCACCTTTATCCCTCTGCTCACACAGCTGCAACCCAACACCAGTGGTGTTTCTATACTGTCACCTTTGGTCTGCAAAATGTGCTCCAGATCCTGCCCTCACACACTGTCTCCCCTCTTCCCCCCATTCATTTTGTCACTAGCACTGGGGTGTTTTGGGTTGCCATACCCTGAGGGTCCCAAGTGGGTGCTGCTATCCATGTGCAGCCTGGTGCCTGCAGGGCTCACCCTGGGTGCTGGGATATGGGCAGGGCTGCTGCCTCCAAGGAACACAGAAGTGCTGCTGTTGTGCAGAGCCCACCTGGCTGGGGAGCAGTGCCAGGGCTCTGTGCTCCTCTTCTGCTCACTAAGGACTGCAAAATGGTGCCCCAGATGGATGTGTCCAGCCTGCAGCCACAGCTGAACCCGGGCAGGGCTCAGTCAGGGGGCTACAACCAGCTGCATTCTGCCAGACACCAGCCTGGGCTTGCAGCCTTTCCCCTGGGGATGGGGAGGAGTTTGTGTGTGTGTGTAAAAAGGGGCTGCAGTGGGGAGGGTTGGGTTGGTGTGGTGGGTGCTGGTGGTCAGACAGGTTTGTCACTGCTGAGGTCAACCTGTTCTGCAGTACCAAAGGGGACAGTGTCCCTTCCCAGCAGCACCTTTATCCCTCTGCTCACACAGCTGCAACCCAACACCAGTGGTGTTTCTATACTGTCACCTTTGGTCTGCAAAATGTGCTCCAGATCCTGCCCTCACACACTGTCTCCCCTCTTCCCCCCATTCATTTTGTCACTAGCACTGGGGTGTTTTGGGTTGCCATACCCTGAGGGTCCCAAGTGGGTGCTGCTATCCATGTGCAGCCTGGTGCCTGCAGGGCTCACCCTGGGTGCTGGGATATGGGCAGGGCTGCTGCCTCCAAGGAACACAGAAGTGCTGCTGTTGTGCAGAGCCCACCTGGCTGGGGAGCAGTGCCAGGGCTCTGTGCTCCTTTTCTGCTCACTAAGGACTGCAAAATGGTGCCCCAGATGGATGTGTCCAGCCTGCAGCCACAGCTGAACCCGGGCAGGGCTCAGGGGGCTACAACCAGCTGCATTCTGCCAGACACCAGCCTGGGCTTGCAGCTCCTTTCCCCTGCCTGGAGCAGCTCTTCTCAGCAGAGTGAGAGCAGGGCTGTGAGGTTGGGCTGTGAGGTTGCCCACCAGCCCCTGTACTTACCAAGTGCCCACACCCATGTGGGGCTGGGCCTGGTGATCTCCACCTGGCTATGACATTTCCCTGCCTAGGGCTGGGTGCAGGTTTCGGTGCCTCCAACTGAAGCTGTAAGGGACCCTTCTTTTGCTGGCAATGTTTGTTTGACTCTAGTATGGAAAATGCACAGTTAGGACAAGCAGAACTTGAGTTGTTTAGTATTTTATTAAAGAGGAAATATACACACCTCTCCCTGGCACAGGGTAGCAAGGAGCCCAGGGCACGTCTCCTGCAGCACGTCTGCGCCCGTGTTTGTGCAAAGAACAGAAAGGACGTGTCTGAGGAGCCTGTTTCTGACCTGGGGGGTGTGGGGAGCACAGCAGGAACCCTGCCCCTCTGCTGGCTGCTGAGCCTCCCCACAACTGGCCTGTCCCACACCAGGCTGCCCCACGGATGTTCTACAGGTACGACAGAAGGAAGAGGCAGCTTATTGTGCTTAAGACATCTGAACAAATCCTGGGTAGGAGACACTCACAGCTTGTGAATATTGCTAATTACTTACAGTTAAAGAATGTATCCTGACGACAGTGATAGGAGCCTGCTGAGACCACTGGATCTTGTGGTAAGTCCTGGTCGTGAACACCCAGCTGCAGGTCACTGTGCTCACAGCTGATGTCCCCTCACAGCAGGAGGAGGTGGCTCCTGCTCTCCTACCAACCAGGTGAGCTCATGCCAAGGCAGAAGGGCCCAATGACATTCCCTGCGCTTGGCACCTGCAGCAAGGAGCACCCTGGCCTTGGGAAGGGCCCTGCTGCCCCATGTCCCATGGGAGGATGGATCTGCCAGCCCTCCGCACCCCTCTGGGAGGAGAAGGAAGCTCAGGCAGGCCAGGCACCAGAGTGAGCTTTCTCAGCTCTCCGCTCAGATTACAATTGAAAGATTAAATATGAGTAAATGCTGTAGGTTTATACATAATGCTTCCTTCTACCTATGGAATGTGTCTGAATGGCCAAAAGACACTAAAACATTGTTAGAAGCCTTAGTTAACAATAAAAGACAACCCCACCCTTAGAGAAAAATAAATCCTAGTTAGTTTTACTAGGGCCTTCATTTAAATGCCCTCAGAAAAACAATGTTTTGGGTGCCTTGTGACAATGTATCTGTTCATGCAATGGCCCAAGTTCCTCATTTAACAAGCATTGCACTTTTTTTATATAAACTATAAAACCTATTATTTTTATCTGAAAGAGTTAGTCTAAAAAATACAGTGTTACTTTATAACCACTGATGGCAAACTCCTAGCACACGCGCATGTGCACACACACTGTTGCCTAAACGTCTAAAGATACTGATTACAAAGTGTATAAAATTAGTAATACGTTGTCAGGATACAGTGAGAGATGAGCCATCCTATAACATGGACTATAATCTAGTATCAGTCACTAAACTGTACACTTTTATACAGCCTGGTATTCACCAATGACTTTTGAAACGTAAACAGCAAATACACAAATTCAGTAATGCTGTTGAAAACACAGTTATTACTGACTCCAACTGATTCAAGCCGACTGAAATCTTCTGATGATGTTTTTGTTTTGTCAAGCAGGGTGGAACCAACCCACCAGCAAGACAGGTCACTCCTAACAGCTCTTTGAGGAGAGCCCTGGTCAGAATCTGCTCCTGACCCGGAGCTGCAGCCTCCCCTCTCTGCTAGGCTGACCCTGGCTGTGCTTTAACAGGCCCGTGGCTACTGAGCCCACGGGCCACCTCCCACGGGCACCTCCACGCTGTCCCCGAGCTCTGCTGACACAGTGGTGTGGCTGAGAAAGTTGTAAGTGGTGGTGTTATTCAGGCAAATGCAGCCCTCAGGCTGTTTGGTCCTGAGTGCCTGTGTCCGGCACCAACCAGCAGAGGAGGAAGCAGCAGGCAGAGCCCAGGGCAGGTGTGTGTGTGTGGAGGTAGGTGCTCACTTCTCCTGGCACTTCCCACCCTAGTCTGGCTGGGCTGCATCCCTCTCCTGCTCCCCCTCCTGCCCAGCTGCAAAAGCCAGATCCCCTTCCCAAGATCCGTGTAGAGAAAAAGAACCAGCTGGATCCAGGCAACTGATCCCCCTTGGGAGCAGCAGTTGCCTCTCAGGAGATTTCAGAGCCTGACCTAGCTCAGCAGATGCTCAGTGCATAGCCTGGAGAAAAGTTGGAGGCACTTTGTGCATTCTCTAGCCTGCCACACAGCCTGTGGGGAGCATGGTGCCAGCAGCCCCAGGGGTGGCACCAGCACTAGAGAGAAGGACAGACAGACAGAAGGAGCCTCTTGCTGCCGCACCTCGTGCAGCTGTTTGAGGCAGGATAAGGGCAACTTGGTTTTGCTGCTGGCAGCTGTGCTGCCCCAGCTCACCCTCTGTGCTTTGAAGGCCCGCTGCACATCAGACAGCAACATCTGGAGGGGCACAGCCTCCTAGGAGAAGTATCTGATGTAACCCAGACCAAGAAAAGGGCCTGTTTCAGCTATAAAAGTCTTCAGGTTTATCACTCCCTTAGGTACAGAGGTGGGAGACCTGGTCAGGGCTGTGCGAGAACTGCTCAGGCTGCTGCTACTTCACCAATCCACAAGTCCTGTGCCCACACTCCCATGAGGAACCTGCAATATCAAGTGCACTGGAAAAAGGGATTGTCAGAAAAAAAAAACAGAAAATATAAATACTACAAAAGCGACATTACTGAGTGGGAACTGGTCTGAGCTGGTCCCAGCTGCTTGGGTCACACAGTGGTCTCTATAGTCTCGATCACTTCCATTTCGCACTGCGAGGGTGACAAGAGGGGGCACTCATCTGGTTCCCAGCTGCTGTCTGGGCTGTAATCTTCTTCTGAGCTCAGCTCGGCCACCCCCTCTGTGTCCTCGTCACAGGACTCCACGTAGTGAACACCCACGGCGTTGATCCCAGAGTCCTCTGAGCTGGCCGGGGAGGAGCAGTGCTCGGGTTTGGGGGTGTTGCTGCTGCCGACGGGGGCTTCCTCGGGCTTCCCCCTGTGGGGCGCGGGGGGCGGCTGCCTCTGCACGTAGCACATCTTCCCGTTGATGCACTTCACCCGGTAGTTGTCAATGAAGAGGTCGGCGATGGTGCAGAGCTGGGGGGAGTCGGGGGGCAGGGGGGGCTGGAAGGCGGGCGCGAACTTCAGGAAGTGCTCGGTGAGCGACACCGAGATCTGGATGGTGTTGGTGGATTCGCGGGGCCGAGCGGGTATCTCGGTGCTGGGGAGCTGCTCCACGGGTGTCATGGGCTGGTAGACATATTTACCTGTGGGGAAAACGCAGAGAAGCAGCGTTTAAAACTCCTCCAGTCAGAGAGGAGCAGCCCCGGGTGGTGCTGCTGAGGCAGGGCCTGCAGCCGCCGCCGG